TGTGTAAATAATCGACTTAATCAATAAAAAATAAATTAATTTATGAGTGATTAAAAGTATTCCGAGTGGATTTATTATACATAATTGAAAACGAGCGAACACTTTGACACGGTGTATTTTCCAAAAGTAAATTTTCAGAAATCAACAATTGTTATAATTGAATCAGTTTCTATAGGAATTTAATGGCTTGATAAGTTTATTAAAACAAAGTACTCTATCGTTATACCAAGTAAAATCGTCCAATTTTAATTTTAACAAACATCAAAAAAACTACTCATTTTCTTAAACTTTGATGAATTTTTAAATTTAAACTACTTGTCGAAAGGTCGTAATATTTCAGTATGTTCTATAAGACCATGATATATATCGCCAAAAAAGTTCCATTAAAATGGGCTTAAATTTTTTTTCAACAGGTAATTACGAGAAAACTGCTCGGTAGATTTTTAACTAAAACTAATCAGTATCATTCCCAACTAATATCTTTCGAACAGTTTTTGATTTTTTAAAATCGATTCGATAGTATGAGCTTGAATGTGGACGAAAAGTTTAACACTTTTTTCCAAATTACAAAGAAACTGCTTGGCAGATCATCGCACAAAACTGACAAACAATAGTCCTAATCGAGATACATCGATTGGCTTTCAATTTTTTGAAATCGTTCTAGTCCCATTCAATCCAGAATGGCTTGAAACGTCGAGAAAACATAAAATAAGCTAATCGGATTTTTTGATGAAAACAAACTTCTCCTTCGGGAAGTTAATTAAAATAATACTAGTTCTTTAAATTTACCTGTTGAGTTACATCGCCTTTTGTCGCCGTATGGGTACAATAATACAAATCGTTCGTCCGTCGCCGCGTTAATATTTTTCCATAAAAAAGTCACAAACTATCAACAACTTCTACCTACCGGTATGATTTTATTAACATACTGGTGTCATATCATACACATTATGATAGTCATATAGACATAAAAATATACAAAAACGCACTTAACTCAACTCCAAGGCAGGAGGCCAAAGACATCATATAAACAAAAAAATTAACGAGGAACAGAAAACAGGTATTTTTTATTGCTGTCCGCTACTGGAATTTAATTTAATCGTACGCTTTCGAGCGATATGATATTTCGTAAAATATATTTTGTTTTAAAATTATTCCGAGACGCGATAAAGGCGATATTGTTGGAAATGATATATTTTTTAATTAATAAATATTGTTCCTACAGATAATTTATCAGAGAGAAACATAAAGTTGTGCATGGCATCGTGCCTTAAGGCAAATTGCTGGAACTTCTCGTACCAAAAATTAAAATTTAAAAAAAAATTCAATTTTCTAAGAATCCAGAAAAAAATAGAATTTCTAAGACTTCAAATTTTTTGGGAAAAAATGACTTTTTTGAAAAATTGGATTTTTTTATACTTTGAGCAATCGCAATATATGTTAGCTACGTAGAAACGCTGCGTCGCAGTATAACGGTTAAACATTGGTACGGAACCTGTAGAAGTGTAAACAAAATTCGTTTTTATTATTGAAATATCTATAAAATTTGTGATAATTTTATGTGGCATTTTATTCCCTATTTTAATGGATTTCCTAAAGCGCTAGACCTGCCTTCCCAAAAATTTAATCAATTCTTCATTTCGTCAATACAAATAAAATGTTTTTCGAATCATACAAATCGGACGCTCCGTTCTCTCAAAAAATCAATTACCATTTTTGACACTTTTTGCCCCGTATCTTTGAAACGGCTCGACCTGCTTTTGTCAAAAACTAATCAGCATGTCTCCTTATCACTATAAATCAAATGTTTTTTGAATTATTCAATTTGGTTGACCCGTCTTTCCCAAATCGTCGACGATAATTTGTATCTACATTTTCAGTTTTCGCTTTCAATTAAATCTTAACTATGCGATCTCTAATTGAATTATCTCAAACGTAAAGTATTGCCCAGACACGTGTTTGTATGTCCAAAAATCATAATTTATTATTTCACATTTTAATGAATTGACAATGTTTGACTTAATACGCCACAAAAACATCACAAATTTTGACCATGATATTTTTTCTAACTTTGAATTTTTAGAAATAAACTACTAGCCACAGAGCCGTAATAATTTAGTATGTCTTATAAGACCATGATATCTATGGTGAAAAAAATTTACATAAATTTTTTTTCAACAGTTAATTACAAGAAAACTTTTTGGTCGATCTTTACCTAAAACTAATCAGTATAATTCCCAACCAATATCTTTTGAAAAGTTTTGATTTTTTAAAATCGATTCATGTGAGCTAAAACATGGTAAAATATGACCTTGCAAATTACAAACAAACGGTTGGATCGATCATCGCACAAAACTGAGAAACGATAGTCCTCATTGAGGTACATGGAACGGCGTTTAAATTTTTTAAATCGGTCCAGCCGTTCTTGAGAAAACGTCGATATAAAGTAAAAAATCTGTTCATGCACACTTATACCAAATTTGGTCTCATTTGCTTCAGAATGGCTTGAAACGTCGAAAAAACATAAAACTAGTGAATCGGATTTCTTGATGAAAACATAGACTTCTTCTTCAGGAATTAAATTATATATTATTACCATACTAATTATTCTAAATTAAAGATAAATTCGATATTTTTCAAAAATCTTGTAAAGTGCAGTTCAAAATTATTCAATTAATGTTTTTTAAATCAAAAATCGATTGTTTTGTTATAAGAAATTCTGTTAGAATATTGTTTAAATAATAATTACACAGATAATAGAAAAATTTTACTTCTTCCTAAAATTTTGGCAAGAAATAATTTTTGATTCATCAAATTTTCTTGATGCCTTTGTAACTAAATTATCTAAAAAAGTTACCATTGCACATGTAAAAATTTAGCTATGCTATTAACTTGTTAAAACTGATAAATTCAATATTTCACAAAATTATAGTGAGAGTTAAATAAAGAAATTAAATATTAAGCACAAATCCTTTAAAGTGCACTTCAAAATAAGTCAATAAATATTTTTTGAAATACCTAGAATTTTTAAATTAGGATTTGGTCTTTACAATTGCCTAAATTTTAAAAATATGAATAAATATCATGTATTAATTAAATTATTTCAAATCAATTTTTATTATTTATTTATTTTGCCGTAAAATAATCATTATTTTTAATTTTTCCAAGATTTTCTTAATAATTATGTCTTTGTAAGAATAAATCAAGTTTGATGTTGGAAAACGTTTATTTAATTATCAAAATAGCTTATTTAGCATATATAACTTAAATTTATTTTATCAACTTAAATAACAACATAAATTTATTAGATTCTAAGAGATCTAAAAGTTTTTATTCTAATACATTTTTGGTCATCTAATCTAATTTGGTGAATCTGATTGATTCACAATTATTCTAACAGATGTATAGAAACAAATTTCTCAAAAAATATGATCACAAATTTCAGAGATACATAACACTAACTCTAAGTTTCATTATTAAAGAAAAGTTTAATATTATTTTTCAATATTAACTATTACCGTATTCTTCTATTTGTTTGCTTTTTTCATGCACAAATAAATTGTTGAAAAATTATGTCGTCATTATAGCGTTTCTCAATAACATTAATTACTGCTCATAATCAAAATAAATCTTTTAGTTTTTATTCGAAGATATTAATCGACATCAATTATAAAAATATACTGACAAACCAAAACACGGATTTTAAATATGATTCCTAGAATAAAGATAGGCATATAAAATCAGCTCATTAAATAAATAACACCTGAAAATAACCGAGTATCTGACTAAGAAGAAAACTAGAGGGGCGTATGACATCGAGCCTCAAGACAAATTTCTGGAACTTCCGTGCCAAAAATTATTATTTTTTTAAAAACGATTAACATTTTTGAAAAAAATTTACTTAAAAAAAATTAGATTTTTGAGAAACTATAAATTTGACAAAAAATTACTTTTTTTTTTATTTTGACATATTTTGGAAATTTTGAACTTTTCAAATCAGTCGTACTGCATTAACTGCATAGAAACGAAACGTAAAAGCGCGTAAGCGCCGCGTCGCCGTCTAACGAATAAACATTGGTACGAAACCCATAGGAATGCAAACAAAATTTATACTTATTGTTAAAATCTCCATAAAATATCTGATAATTTGACGTGCATATGTCTAATGATCATTTTTGGCCGCCAAATAACATTTTTTTTACTTTTTTCATTAGATCTCCGAAACCGCTAGACCTGACTTCATGAAAATTTGATCAATTCTTAATCTTGTCAATAGAAGTAAAATGTTTTTTGAATTATTCAAATCGGACGCTCCGTTCTCCTAAAAACTGAGTTACCATTTTCGGCACATTTTGCCCCATATCTTCGAAACGGCTAGACCTGCTTTCGCCAAAAACTAATCAGCACGTCTCCTTATCAATACGAATCGAATGTTTTTTGAATTATTCACATCCGTTGATCGGTGTTCCCAAAATCGTCGTCGAAAATTTGTATTTGCACACATACACACACACACATAGATTCATTTTTTGTAAGATATGCCAAAATATTCAGAAACCTTTGAAACGTGAAGATATATAAAAATTTTCATTTTCGATATTTTTGCGATTACTATAACTTGCCCTACGGGAAGTTAATAATAAAAACCTAAATTACTTCGGTTGTAAATTATGTTCTTTTAATATAATCTCATGTTTTTTTAATTCCTTTATCAAAAACAAAATTAGGGTACTTCTTATTTATTATTTATTATATATTAGGTTGGCAACTAAGTAATTGTGGATTTCATTTATTGAATATACTTTTTAGGTTTGCTGATGTAGTCCAAATAAAAACTACATTTTGTACTGTAAAATTTTTAAAATAATTGTTTATTGTTACCAGTTAACCATTATTTAAATGATTATTAACAATTAATAGTTATAATTAAATAAATAGTTACTGATTATTATTAATCCATATATAAAATAAATATACAATTTGAAAAAAAAAAATTAAATTCAGAGTTCTGGTATCTCATTGGTAAGATCAAGTTCATCATTCGAATTTTTGGAAATTTCTTCGTAATCAGTTTCCAATATGTTTAGATCAATTTGTGCTTCTTTAAACTCGACTTCCTCCATACCTTCATTAACATACCAGTGAATGAACGCTCTTTTTGCATACATCAGGTCAAATTTCTTATTCAAATTACCCCAAGCTTGTTGAATAGCTGTCGTATTTGATAACATTAATGCTGCTTTAGAAATTGGCAATAACTCACTGCCGGTAATTGCTATTGGTGACTGACTATTTATGCCAATTTTAAAACCGGTAGGGCACCAATCAACAAATTTGATGCATTTGTTCTCTTTCAGAATAGTTATTGCAGCGTTCACATCTTTTGGTACGACATCTCCACGATAAAGCATACAGCAAGCCATATATTTACCTTTGTTGGTATCGCATTTTACCATATGATTAGTTTTGTTAAATAATTCATTTGTGATCTCCTTGATCCCCATTGATTCTTCATAGACTTTGTCAAAGGAAACTATGGGTGCATATGATGTTAGAGGGAAGTGAATTCTTGGATACGGCACAAGGTTGGTTTGAAATTCTGTTAAGTCTACGTTCAGTACTCCATCGAATCGGAGAGAAGCAGTTATTGATGAAACTGCTTGGCTGATCAAACGGTTTAAACTGATGTATCGGGGTCGTTCAATTCCTAACTTCATCCGACAAATATCATAAAGTGCCTCGTTATCAAAGATAAATGCTATATCTGCTGTTGAAAGAGTTGCATGTGTAGTTAAAATACTATTATAGGGTTCTACAACAGCCGTTGAAACTTGCGGGGATGGATAAACTGCTATTTGAAGTTTACCTTTTTTCTGGTAGGTGTCATTGAGTCTTTGCATCAACAATGATGCAAAACCAGATCCAGTGCCACCTCCAAAAGAATTGAAGACCAAAACACCTTGTAAACCTGCACATTGTTCACTGAGCTTGCGCAGGCGATCCATGACATCGTCTATAATATTTCTACCAATTGAGTAGTGACCACGAGCATAGTTATTGGCAGCATCTTCTTTGTCCGTTATCATGTTACTTTTTTCGAACAGGTGCCGATATTTTCCAACTCGGACTTCATCAATAACCGTTGGTTCCAAATCGACCATAATACTCCTGGGTACATACTGACCATTGGGACTCTCATTGAAGAATGAGGTAAAGCAATTGTCAGCTAATGAAATTGATCCCTTACTATGATCAGCTGGTATACCATTTGGTTGAATTCCGTGTTCCAGGCAGTAAAGTTCCCAAGTCGCACTTCCTATCTGGACTCCGGCCTGACCGACGTGAATGTTTATGCATTCCCTCATTGTAAATTTTTGAAAATCTACTTCAAATTTTGAATTAACAATTAAGTGAAAATAGTGAATTGAAAAATACTGAAAATTTTGACGATTGTTCGAATATGTTTTTGTTTTATATTTATATATGGGCCTACTCCATTTTTTATTTTTTTCATTTCGGTTTTACTGCTGACATATTTCGGTTTATTATTGATGAAATAGGTCGAAAAGTAGCGATGCAGGTAATTTTAAATAATTTGTATTAACAATTCAATGTCAGTTATTATTCAATTGTCTTAGTTGAATACCCTGTACGTTTAATTAATATAAATCATAAAAAAATAAGATTAAATTTTAGAAATTATTTTACTCATTTGGAAGAACAGATTAAGACTACTATTAAGTTCAGATAGTAAACAAGAAATAGTAAGTGATTTAAAAAAATATTGAAAAAAAAAACAAGTTATAGAACAATATTCGACTTCAGAGTATGTATTTGTATAACAATACAAAAAATTATAAATCATGCATCCAAAAAGTGCAAAAAATTAAATAGAATTATTTAACTCTTTGGGGACGCCTGTCCACCTGAGTGGACAAACAAACTCTGTGAGGCCCAGGCTATTTTATAAAAAATGACTCAGCTTGCATCGAAAATTTGAATAAATTACATATAACAGTGATAAACAGTATTGTATTTTGAAAATAATTTTAAGTTATTTTAGTAGTATTTTTAGCTTTTTTCTTTGCTATATAGTCTTTTTTTAATATTTCAAACGACCAAGCGCTTTTAAATATGGCAGAACGACTGGAAAATTTTGTAATTAAGCAGTAGTGAAGATGAGTTTCAAATAGAAATTTATACAGACGATTCTCCTTCAATAATCGAGTTTGACATACATCAACAAACACCCCGACAACAAATACCAAGCAATATAAGACATCCAATAGATTATTTTACTTCATATTTCACAAATGAATTATTAGACAATATAATAGAAATAACAAACCATTATGGCAGCACAAAAATGAACAAATATACTGACTAATCAGTGGCATATTCTAAATAGAAAAGCACGCGCAGGAAGGTGGCGAACAACATTTTATTGTAAAACATGTCAAAATCAACTAGCTATGCATTTTGGAAATTGCTTTGAACGTCACCATTCTTTATAAAATGATCAAAAATAAATTAATATTATAAATGTATGTCCTTCAATGACTACAAATTTTTATCAAACAAATTGCATAACGAACACAATGAAATCAAATTTACAGCCGGTACAGTAGATTGTTTTGAAATCGGTGCCGTCCCGTAAGTGTTAAACCTATGTCCCTTTGGCACGCACAAAATGAAATGAACTCATGTTTGTAATTTTGCACTTTAGTTTAAAAGTATGTAAAATTATTTTAGTATTGTTTTTCAATATGAAGCATCTCAAATTATGTTGAACGAACTTGGCACCATTCAAATTGTATATTAAATCTGGTTGTTAATTTTGGAAATAGTCTAACTCTATTCGTGATACAAAAACGCATATTATTCACTTAATAATTACTAGTTCTTTGATAGGAACTATAAAAATATTAATTAAAAAAATATTAATTTTTACCCTTGGCCTAGCCATCATACGGGGGCTGTGCTCATCGTTTGTAGGTCAAGATGCTAAAAACCAGGTTTCAAAAAATATTTTAATTTATTTCAATTTAGATACATTTTTGAATACTTCTTACATATATAACATCGATAGAGTAGATACTATTTCCAAAACCGATTTCCGTAATAAATCTAACTTTATATATGTATGTAGCATTCATTTATCGGGGCCATAATGCGTCGGGGCTACAAAGTTATATGCAAAACACAATCGGCTAATAATGCAGTAAAACTAAATTAAAACAACGAATGCCTAACTAACTAACTATATAGCGTGCGAAGGTCACTTCGGCAAACTTTTTCGGTTCGCAATGTTCATGCCACCGCATTTAATTATAATAGATAGAGAGCTGCTGGAAAATATTGGAACGCAAACTATACATGTTGATCGTAATGCATGTGATGGACAATTATGACATTCAAGCAAACGAGAATGTTCGACGGTTCTCGGCAACGTTCGTTCATCCGGTGACGTCACAATTGCTTTTTATGTTTTGATACTTTTCAACAGGTGAAACATATGAGGTACAAGGAAAAATATATGAGGAGGATATATAGTACAAGGCACTATTTGACTTTTAATAATGAATTTTGAAGAGCAAACCAAACTACATCACAACAAATTACACATATACCAGAAAAATATATTTTTTATGAGCTATTGTGCTGAATATTAGAAAATTAGGTGAAACAAATCTTTAGAAATCAAATTTTTAGAAGCCTTAATTTTTGACGATTTATCTGGTGAAGATGATAATTTTGATACAGAACAATATTTTTTGCTAACAAACTATCTATAAATAATTTTCAAGACACTTTTAACTCACAAATTTGATTTCAACACATCGTATAAAAAAATGCGTCATAAATTAATTTCATTCAATCAGATAGCTAGAACAACAGGACCTAAATCAAAGTCTTCGAGTTCGATATCAGCTTTCATTGGAAATATAAATAGCAATATGTTTTCAAGTAACAAATTCAATATCACTAGAAATACTTCGGTGTTACAGAAATTTCGATAATAAAATTCATCACAGAGATTAGTCAACTATTTGGGTTGTCATACACAAAAAACCGAAATGTATAAAACTTATGTTCTGATTGCTATTGGAAAAAAAATATTAACAATAATAAGACCAGTCAATTGAAGGTTAATACTACAAAGTAAATACATAGAAAATTTGACACAATTCTAATAATAATCAAATATTTGAGATACTACAGTCAATGGGAATGAATCAATCCATTTTTACAAGATTTTATATCAAATTTGGTTTTCCTACCAATGCTCCGTCTATTGGATTGCATCGCGCGAGAACTGAACACCGAGCGGGCCTTTTAATTGCTTTTTAACAAGTATAATTTAAAAACGATAAAATAATAATAATTCTTTGTATATATTTTCATCATCGCCGTCAGTCGTTTAGTTGAGAAAAAGGTCGAATGGCCGACGAAACAAAAATCGTATTGATTTACGTCCGAACCTCTAAAAGTCGCTAAAAACCAATTTCCAATACAACATTGTATTGGCAAAGAATTGAGACATAAAATTTAGTTGGATAATTTAGTGGGAGATGAAAGACTGGAAATTTATATTCAATATTTAAAGTATATTCTGTGTTAAGTAATTCACTTTTTGTAAAATTAACAGTTTTGGATAGTTTGTTTCACAGAAATGTTTACAATTTACATACTAATTAAAAATTTGGATCATAGTTTATTAAAAACATGCAACAGTAGACTTCGCTCCTTGGAATAATTACTATTTTTTTATATTCAAACATTTTTCTGTCCTTTCATGTAACAATAGCTTATAAGATTTTTATTGTATCTTGATTGCTATTTAAAGGAAATTGAAAAAATTATATTAAAAATATCTTTATAAAATCCAACTTCTAATACATCACAGTATTAACAGTATTGAAACATAAAATTTGTTATTTAGTGTTTCATGAAAAATTTTAAAATGCCATTGTCATTATTCCGAATATATTTTGTGTGAAATAAAGCTTTATTAATTATTAAAAACTCTCGAAAATTTTGTCTGACATAAAAAACGCTAATTGTAAGGATAGGTGGATGCTGCCCTAATTTAATCCTGGACCTGCCCTGGATAATAATGTTTGAATTTCAATACACTTTTGTACAAATTATTTTATAAAATATAAATATAATTATCTAATTTAACTTTATTACATCACAGTATTAACTGTATTGAGACATAAAATTTGTTATTCAATGCTAGATGAAAAATTATAAAATGCAATATTGATCATTTCAAATATATTTTGTGTGAAATAATGCATTATTAAAATCTCTCCTAAATTTTGCCTAAGACACACAAAAACACTAATTGTAGGGATATGTGTATGATGTCCTAAATTAATCCTGAACCTGCCCTGGAAAATGCTGTATAAAATTGAATACACTTTGGTATACATTATTTTATTTAAAATTTTTAAGACCATTCGACTGATTAATTATACGACTAATTTTCTAAGCAAATTTTTACTATTTTTACCATTTTTTATATCCATTCAAAATTGTAAATATTATTTAGACAATTTTATATGTTACTCTTTATTATTAAATTAAATAAATTTCATAAAATTAACACATTTATTTTTAAAACTGTGAAAATAAGTTTTGAATGTACATACGAAAAATAAAGGCCAATTTTTGAATAACATGTAAATGTTATAGTAATGATTTTACGGGGTCTACATTCGTATGAGTAAGTAGTAACAAATTGTCAAAAAACTATGTATATGATATGTGATCAGGCGATTTATACATAAAGCCTTTGTATCTAAATATAATTAGATACTAACAATTTTTTAACTAGTGTTGCAGGGCATCGTGCCTTAAGGCAAATTGGTGGAACTTATGTTCCACCGCACTAAAAACTATACTTTTGAAAGACTTTTAAAAGAAAAAAAAATTAGATTTTTGTGAAATTTTGAAATTTTTGAAAAAAAAGACTATTGAAATTTTTTTTTTTAAATTTTTTTAGAGCAATTACACTGCATAGCTGATTTAGAGTCGAAGTATCAAAGCACGTAAGCGCCAAGTCGTCGTCGTACACAAAATTTGTACTTATTATTATAATTTTTATAAAATATCTGATAATACGATGTACATATGTGTAATGATCATTTTTGACCGCCAAATGGCATTATTTTTTATTTTTTTTATCTAATCTTCAGAGACGCTGGACCTGCCTTTACAAAAATTTGACCAGTTGTTTATTTCGTCAATACAAGTAAAATATTTTTCGAATTATTTAAATCGAACACTTCGTTATATCAAAAACTGAATTACTAGTTTTGACACTTTTTGCCCCGTAATTTCGAAAAGGCTGGATCTG